GACATTTACATAGCGAATATTACTGTTTGAAATAGTATTTTCTTCCATGTAAAGAGTAAATTGTAACGTTTAAATGGTAAATATTATAAAGTGAATAGTAAAATCACGATTTTACTGTTTGAAATGGTAAATTTTAGCAGTTGATCATTACTTATTATAAATCGACTGTTATTTATTACAGTTTACTCTTTTTCGTGCAGAAGTTAATAAAGAGGAAAAATCAAATAAAATATTTTTTGTTTGATAAGAAATAATTTTTTCTTAGCGTGAAAAGTAATTTTTTATGAATAAAAAAATTTTATTTTTTTCAGATTTAATTAAAAAATGTCGGACGTTAATCAAGAAGAAAAATCAAATAAAAAAAATTGGACTGATGAAGAGCGTTTAGATCTTGCCACTAAACTTGATAATGAACTAGATGAATACATTAATAGTTTTGAAAAAAAGCCGTATTCAGAAGGATGGCCAGAAGATCGATGGCAAGAAGAAATGGAGAAACATCCCTTTTTTATGAAACAATTTCCTGAAAATGGAGAAGTTTCTCCACTTATGGAAGGCTTACAACAACTTAAATACAGCGAAGAAGAAAATAGTCCAGAAGGTTTTTTTTTTTTTAATTAATTAATTTATTTATGTCACTAATTATTAAAAAATTCTTCTATTAATTTCAGAGCTGGCTATTAATTATAAAGAAGACGGTAATTTTAATTTTAAATATAAAAAATACCGTCTAGCAATTTTAAGCTATACAGAAGGTATAAAAACGCAGTGTAAAGATGACAATATTCGTGCGCAATTGTATAATAATAGAGCAGCTGCCCATTTTATGCTGAAAAATTATCGGTAAATTTTACAACCTTTTACTGAATTTTAAAATAATATTATTATCCATTTTGTGTTATGAAATAAAATATATATTATTGTATGGCGTACAAAGGTCGAGCTTGAATGACAGTAAACAGGCTATGAAATTTCAACAGAATTATCCAAAAGCATTGTCCCGAGCTGCGAGCTGTAGTTATTATATTAAAAATTATGACCAATGTATTGAATTCTGCAATAAACATATCGCTGAAAATGGACCGAGTGCGGAAATTTCTCGCTTAATGACATCAGCTATTTCAGAACAAGTAAATAATATTTATTATTTTTACTGAAAATTTTTTTTTATTTAATATTATATATATTTAATATTTTTACTAATTTTTTTAGAAACAAAAAAATCGCATGGAAAGATTGAAGGACAAAAGGGAGGAAAAAGAAAAACGTGAAAGTGAAAAATTGTTGGAAACAATTAAATCGCGTAATTTAATAATTGATTCTAATGGACAGAAAAATTTTGAAACTAAACATTTAGACCCTCAAATTCCGCAATTAGCTGATCATACTGTAAGATTAGACGCTGATGGTAAATTAATTTGGCCGGTTGTTATTTTGTACCCTGAAATTTTTCAGTCAGACTTTATTCAAAATTTTCATGAAGATACTAGGTAAAAATATTTTCATTTTTTTTAATTATTTTATTTTATTTTATTTTATTGATAATTTTAATTTATAAAATGGGTCTCACTTTTATTATGTGGTTTTAGATTTGTAGATCAACTTGAGGAAGTTTTGAGTGAACCCCCAGAGTGGGATACCGGAAGGCGCTATAATCTTGCTAGTGTAAATGTTTATTTGGAAGCGGATAACAAAGTTATCCATAAAGTGGATATTAGTCAGACACTAGGATCAATATTGAAAATAAAAGGGTATATATTTTCTATTATTATTAATTTAGCAGATATTTATAATTTTTTTTAACAAATAAATAGTGGCAAAAAAAAAAAATTAACAAGTAGAAATTTTACAAAATAAAAAATGCAATTTTGTAAAATAAATTATTTTGTCAAAAAAAATAAAAAAATGATTAAGTGACTACTAACTTTAATATTCATTTTTTAAAATTTTTTCCTAAAAATTAAGATTAATTTTTTTCTATTTTTAGGTATATAATAAAAGCAGGAACTCCTTCATTTTTCATCTTGATTGCCAACAGTGATTCAGAAAAAAAATTTTTAGATAACTATAAGTCTTGAATATTGTAATAATAATTTTGTAAATTATAATAATTTGATCTGTCAAATTTTATAAATAAATTTTTAACAATAAAATAGTTTCGAGAAGAAAAATTATAAAGTAATTTAATTAATTGTTTATTTTATCAACCTTTACTCTATTTAATTTATTTTATAAAAAATTTTTTACCTACCAAAAGTCAAGGTGATTTGTTATAAAATAACTTTTTTAATTTTTTAATAATCTCAAGTTAACAACCAATAAATTTAGACACGTTTTTGTAGCATATCGTTTTACTATTGCGCTTCCGCTCTTATTATATCTCAATCGATGCTGATCAGATCGTGTTTCAAAGTGAATAGATTTACAAATATCTCGAAAAATCTCATTTGAAAATGAAAGATCGAATTTCACAACAAAAGAATGGTAGATTTATTGATAGATCTAAGCATGCACATCCTTAGAAATCTAATTGGATTTTATTAGACATTAAAAGATTAAATTTCATTATTTTATTTCTAATTTTTTTATACTATTGAATTTAGAAGCAATAAATTATTAATTAAATTAGAGATTAAACATTTTCACCTGAATGACACCGTCTAATTATATTAATGGTAGAAACATTGATATGTTCCATCCATTGTTTCCTATTTAGCAAAATACAGGGAAGTAAGCCTTGAAATGTGTTTGAGATAGAAGCGTAAATGAATATTGATAGACAGACGTATACTACAATCAATTATTCACAACATAACAGGGCATGCAGAGAAGTCAAAATAACGTGATAAAAATTTTTAGAGTGAAAATATTCTCTCATGTGCATCAACTCGTGTTTGTCTATATCACTTATTTATTTAATTGACATCATGTTACTGACGTTTTATCTGTTATGAAACTTACTTGTTTTATTCAGGTAAAAAAAAAAAAAAATTTATGGCAATAAATACCTTTTTAAGTGAGAAAAATTAAAATAATCAATATGTTAAATAAAATTTCAACTATTCTTCGGAGCAAGATGAAATATTTACACCAGAAAAAAAAAATTAACTTGAATTAAGTTTTATTTTATTTAATAAATAAATTTGTTCCGAAAAATATTTTTAAAAAATTGCATTTAAAATTTTTTTGCCATAATTTATTTGTTAAAAAAATTATTAAAAATCTACTAAATTAATTTTCATTAAAGTTAGCAGTCACTTTACTATTTTTTAATTATTTGATAAATAAATTTATTCCAAAAAATTATTTTTAAAAAATTGTATTTTTAATTTTTTTTTAATTTCTACATGTCAATTTTTTTTCCCATAATTTATTTGTTAAAAAAATTCTTAAAAAAATTTTGTTCAGTTTAAGAAAATTTTACTTGATTTAATAATTTGTCATCTTCATTCAAAATAATTTTTTTATCACAGTGTAATAATGTTAAATTTATATGATAGCATTTATTATGAATGAACTAATAACAAAAGATGATTGAAGGTAGAGAAATTTGAAGTAAAAAGGAGTCCGGAAGATGAAGAAAGGAAATATATAACTGCATAGTGCGTTTAAATTTTTTTTATACAGCATATAGATTAATAAAACTCTTTTTAAACTAGCGTGGGTCATTTTTTATCGGCTCGTAACTATATAACCCAGCGTTAAGTATGAGAACAGCTAGGTACTCAGTTGAAGAACTTTTCGAGTAATTTTGAAGCACCGTTATCTTTACACATGAGAATTTATCATCGTGTCGGATCGAAAATATATCAATTCTCTATTTAATATCATCTTCTGAAAAACTACGAAAAATTCATCTAATAATTATATAGTAACTCAAGTTAAATAGACAAAGTTGAACTTTTTTTAACTGTATCGATAAATTCCGGTACTGACTTTATTATTATTATTTTTAAATATATTATTAAATATGAACTTATGCAAGAACAACTGTATTATTTTTCAATCTATATTGCAGTAAAAAAAAAAAATTTTTTTTCCATTTTAATTGTAATTAATTACGCATGTAGAAATGTAAAATAATTAATTAAATGTAGCAATCAATTTACACACGAATTAATTAAAAATATTGTTATTTAAATAGCCGGTGAAATTGTAAACGATCTCTATAGTAATTATTTTTTTGTTATATCAAAATTACTTTTTTAAACTAAAAATTTTCATTTTTTTGGATAAAAAAACATAAAATGTCTACTGTAAAAAATTTATAATTTCTGAAACTCCAAAAATATTTTAAAAATAAAATATTTTGATAATTTTTAAGTCTTTAAAATATTTAATAATTAATCATACTGCATGATATTTCAAGCTATCGTTTGCAAAAATAATTTTTAAGAATGTATAACAATAAAATTTGCCATCGCAGTTATCGATTAGAAATATAGGAGAAAATCGTGTCAAAAGAGTAGAATCCCATTAGAAATTATGCATACTATCATGTAACTGGGCAGATTGATTGCTATGCCATCAGATATTATGTTGATGTGAATGCTATACTGTTTGAGAGGTTTCATCCCAAATGTACATACTAGATGGATGAATCCTCAGTAAAGTGACTCGATGCTTAAACACATGATGATACTGTAATTTATAGTCATACATCTGCAGATCTCTCGTGATAAATAGAGTGGTTTAAGGTAAATTATTGGCTTAAATCAATCGAGCAATAAATCCACCCAGCGAATACATATGTATTATTGTTTTGCAATAAAATTTTCATAATTAAATTTATAAATTTCATTGTATGTTATAAATTATAACTAAGCCCAAGATTTTAGGCTTAATTTCAAAATTAATGGATTAAATATTTGATATTGCAGCGAAAATATTGATCTTATAAAAAAATTATTGAAAAATAGTTGTAGGAAATTTAATTTTACAAGAAAAAAATGTCTCATAATATTTTATTAGGATTAATAGAAAAGCCGTAATTAAAAATTTAAGAATTTTTTAGTTGGAAAAAATTTAAACAATTGTTTCAAAATCTTAATTTTGAAATTATGGGAAAAATTTTGATTTTATAAAATCATAAGAGAGATTTTTTTTCAGAAAATTAAATTTTCTAAAAATTTTTTTTTAAGACTTTTTCTATAAAATCAATATTTTTTCTGTAATATCAAATATTTAGGTCATTAATTTTAAAATTGAAAAATCTCGGCCCTTGTTATGATATTTAAATGTTATATATTATCTCCTGAAGATTTTATAATATTTAGATATGACGTACTTAACTTGTGAAGAACTTACTCTCTTATCTTGTGTCTAAGCTTCACACCGATATTTCCTCAGCAAGAGCTTTTAGTCCACATGTGTTTATCTTATCTGCAAAGTGAGAAAAAAATATTTAATAAGTCTCCCCTCTGATGATTCAATAATATTATTAATTACAACAATGTAAATAGTTTCTTTGTTATTGTTCATTATTTCTTATTATAGATTTAATTTTTATCAATTTAGAAATTTAGTTTAAAAAAATATATTAAAAGTTTATTTTTATCCTCTTTAAATATTTTTTTTGCGTATTTTTGTAAATATAAATTATAAAACTAATATATTATCCTCATAAATTATGTAGTATAAATATTAGTTCGTAATTTCGAAGTAAACTTAAAACTTTATGTGTGTATTGGCTAAAATTAATATGAAACTATAAACAAGTATAACATATTTATTTATTTTTAAAAAGAGTTTTTAAGATTTGTTTAAATTTTCTTAATTTTGAAAATTTTTTTAAATAAAATTTCAATCGGATAAAATTTAATCTCTTTAGAGTAAAGTTTACTCTGAAAAGAAGGTTTACTTAGGACCACTTTTTGTATCAAGGGTATAATTTTATCCGGGATTATTATAATTATTGTCAGAGTATCTCTCTATACATTAAATAAATAGATATATTTTATCATATTTTAATCTCGGATAAAATTATACCCTGGAGTACAGAAACTGGTCCTAATACTGTTAGAAAATAAAGAAGAAACAAATAGTGAACTGTAGAATTAAATTTCTGGCCATCTAGCGACGATTTTCTGCGATATAGATGTCAAAAACATAATCTACATTATTAAGAGAGTAAGAAAAATATTATCTCCATGACAAAATTTTCAAAGTTTTATATCATTCTCATCATAGTTAATTTATTATGACAATTATTTAGGCTGCAGTCGAAAATGCTCTAGCTCAAGCTACATAATAAAGAAATGACCTTGTGTCTTGTGAACTATTGACATTTTTAGAGATATAAGTTCATCCCGATGTTACACTCATCGAGACTTTTCATTTGAGTACCCACATCAATTTTTCATATATTTCATATATTTACATATATTATATATATGTATATATGAAAAATATATCAAAAATGCATGTGGGTACTCAAATGAAAGCTCTTGATGAGTGTAACATCGGGATGAGCTTGTATCTTTAAAAATGTCAATAGTTAAGAAAATACAGTGCAATTTAACAAATATCTTGTGAACTATTGACATTTTTAAAGATATAAGCTCATCCTGATGTTACACTCATCGAGACCTTTCATTTGAGTACCCACATCAATTTTTCATATATTTATATATATTATATATATGTATATATGAAAAATATATCAAAAATGCATGTGGGTACTCAAATGAAAGCTCTTGATGATTGTAACTTCGGGATGAGCTTATATCTTTATAAATGTCAATAATTAAGAAACTACAGTACACTTTAACAAAAGTCATTATATAATTAAGCAAATTTGTATTTTTTTAAACTTGCATTTGTAATTTTTTTGAATTTCTAGATTGAAAATTTTTTTTCATTAATATTTTTTTACAACAATTTATTTGTTAAAAAATCAAAAAATTGATAGTCTTTAAATTTCAGTATCATCTTCAAAAACTAAAGAATTTGATACCAAAAATATCAAATTTCTGAATATATTTCCACCGCGCGTAATTGGACGATCTAACACCGAATAAAAATATTTAACTTTAAGTCTGATTAATTTTTTCCGTCGGGCGATATTTATACGTAAAATTATTCTGTTAAGGATGAAAATACCGTAGAATTACGAATCACTTACGTTTCGTTACTGATGTATTCGCTTATTACACTTTGGTATTGCTTTACCCAACTA